CTACAGAAACATATCCGATAATGGGTCCGCATTCAAGTCTACAAAAATCAACAGTTTTGTGAGACGCCATAATATTGATTGGAGATACTCGACGATCTATTACCCTCGGGCAAATGGATTAGCTGAGGCCTTCAACAAAACCTTCGTACAAATTGTTAAAAAGACCCTTGATGATAACAAGCGACAGTGGGATGAGCGGTTGGTGGAAGCTCTGTGGGCTTATCGTACCACTTATAGAACCCTGACCCAATCCACCCCGTTTGCACTAGTGTATAGATCTGAGGCCGTCCTACCCTTGGAAATACAAATCCCTTCGCTCAAGATTGCAGTTCATAATCAGATTACAAATGAACAAAATGCAAAACTGCGGTTGGAAGAACTCGAAGGCTTGAAGAGCGACGTCTCCAAGCTCAACAAAGTTTAGAGTTAAATAAGTCCCGTATGGTTCAAGCCCATGATAAGCTAGTGCGACTTAGGACATTCCAAGCAGAAGACTTGGTGTTGGTCTTTCAGAGGCCTATCTTAGCCCATCGAAAGTTGGGAGGCAAATTCGAACCCACTTGGGAAGGACCCTTGGTCATAGAGACTGTCTACGAAGGAGGCTCATATCAGTTAGTAGATTTTAAAGGAAATCACCTAATGCTACCTATCAATGAGCATTTCCTTAAGAAATACTATGCTTGATGTAGCTCGTTATGCCAATTAATAAAATTTTCCTTCTTGATTCGCAACTCGGTTCTTTCCTTTTTAAATTCTTTTACTTTTTAACGCTCTTCGCCTCCTCCTTAGGGTCAGACCGTCCCCTCCCTTAGGATCGCACCTGCTAGTGGTGGAGTACGCCCTTCGTGGCGCCACCCTGGCATTTGACTTGGGGATTAGTGGTGGAGTACGCCCTTTGTGGCACCATCCTAATTCACACTCGTTAGTGGTGGAGTACGCCCTTCGTGGAACCATCCTAATTCACAATCGCTAGTGGTGGAGTACGCCCTTCGTGGCTCCATCCTAATTTGTCAGTTTCAGTCTGCTGTGTGGAGCAAGTTTCCTCCCCACATGACCACTTTCTAGTGGTGAAGTACGCCCTTCGTGGCACCATCCTAGTTTGCCAGTTTTGGTCCGCTGTGTGGAGCAAGTTTCCTCCCCACATGACCACTCGCTAGTGGTGGAGCACGCCCTTTGTGGTACCATCCTAATTTGCCAGTTTCATTCCGCTGTGTGGAGCAAATTTCCTCCCCACATGACCACTCGCTAGTGGTGGAGTACGCCCTTCGTGGAACCATCCTAGTTTTCCAGTTTCGGTCTGCTGTGTGGAACAAGTTTCCTCCCCACATGACCACTCGCTAGTGGTAGAGTACGCCCTTCGTGGCACCATCCTAGTTTGCCATTTTTGGTCCACTATGTGGAGCAAGTTTCCTTCCCACATGACCATTCGCTAGTGGTGGAGTACGCCCTTCATGGCACCATCCTAGTTTGCCAGTTAATCTGCCTGTTTGGAGTAAGTCTTCTATTAGCATCCAATAAGCCTAAGGTTGGGTGATGCCCTTCCTTAGACCCAAAGCTAGGTATTCCCTACCTTGGTTTCCAGTTGATCTGTCCATTAGGAGTAAGCCTTCTATCAGCATCTTATGGACCTAAGGTTGGGTGATGCCCTTCCTTAGACCCAAAGCTAGGTATTCCCTACTTTGGTTTCCAGTTAATTTGCCTATTTGGAGTAAGTCTTCTATCAGCATCCTATAGGCCTAAGGTTGGGTGATGCCCTTCCTTAGACCCAAGGCTAGGTATTCCCTACCTTGGTTTCCAGTTGATTTGTCCATTAGGAGTAAGTCTTCTATCAGCATCCTATGGACCTAAGGTTGGGTGATGCCCTTCCTTAGACCCAAAGCTAGGTATTCCCTACTTTGGACCTCAGGTTGGATGATGCCCTCCCTCACACTCTTAAGATTCTACTTCTATTCGGTCAACGCCAATGTGTGCAGCAAAAGTTCCTTCTACCACACACATTGGGGGTCCATTTGTTGACCTCATTTTTGTATGAGGTCACTAAGGCCCTTATAAACTCCAGATCAATCTTAGATCCTAGGATCCACTCTAGACTTTAAGATTCTTTCCTAGAGCCAGACATTAGGGCCTACTCTAGAACTTAAGATTCTTTTCTAGATCCAAGACCTTAGGGCCTACTCTAGAGCTTAAGATTCTTTTGTATCCCAAATTCTAGAGCCCCTCTAGATCCTAGATCCTAGAACCCCTATAGATCCTAGGACCAATCTAGACTCAAATCAATCCCTACCTTTGATCAATTCCAACCTCAAATCAATCCCTACCTTTGATCAACTCCAAATCTATCCCTACCATTGATCAAATCCAACCTAAAATCAATCCCTACCCTTGATCAATTCAAATCTCAAGCTTCATTCAATTCAAATCCAAATTAATTCAAGCTTCAAACATATCCAAACTTTGATCCAATCAACTTGAGAATCCAAACTTCAATCTAGACTTTGATCCCACCTTTAATCTAGCTTTGACCTTATCCATCCATTAACAATCAAAACATGATTGTAAATGTTTTGGATACTTCAATATTAATCATTCAAACTTAAAATCCATTCCAAATCCAGAAATCAAAACTCAAATCCAAAATCTTAAGGCCCTGTCCTAAAGACCTTTTTCAATGTTTTTTCAAACATTTCAAAACCCAGTCAAATGGCCTCTGATTCAGGGTCTATCACTTACAAAGTGATAAGACATGTCTCTAGAAGTTACCCTCCAATTTGGAGCCCATTCTGAGGTCCCTAACCCCAGAATCTGAATTAAAATCCAAAGGCTGTAAAATCTTCAAATATTTACAGCCTATGCCATTGGACCTAACTCCTTGAAGATTTTGATCTTGGAGCCCTCATCAAAGCCTCCAATCACTTCCAGTCCCTTCATTGTAACCCATTGAGCAGTAAACTGCATTTTTCAGACCTATTTTTGACCCTAGTTGACCAATGGGTCAAAATTGACCAAAATACCCCTATGGAGATTTCAAATGCCCATTTCAATCCAAATCAACTCCAAATTCTTTGAAACCACTTTCAACAAGTTTCAAATATCAAACCCAACTTGTTGAGCTTAAGCCCAAACCTTGGGTAAACCTGGTTGACCAAGTCAACCAAGTTTGACCCATTGACCCATACACCCCTTCTCCTTCAAATCTTTGAATCAAGTCCATTCAAGTCCTTTTGAATGTGAGGGATGACCCCTTGGGTACCTAAGAGACCTCTTGGAGACCCAAGCCTTGGGCTCACTTGGGTTAGCCATTTAGCTTGACCCAAGTGACCAAAGAGAGGTCTCCCTTGAGCCATCTTTTAACCTTAATCAAATTGAATCCAAATCAAGGTGTCATTAGGTTCCCATTGACCCAATACACCTTCCTTGACCAGCCCAACCCTTGGGCTCACTTGGGTCAAGAGTTAGGCTAATCTAAAGTGCCCAAGATCACTTGGGATTGAGCCAATTCTTAACCTAAGCCCAATTGAACTTGATCAATACCTCCCATAGGTGGCTCTAGGTCTAACACACCTCCTCCAGCCAGCCCATACTCTGGGCTAACCTGGGTCAGGTTTTAGGCTAACCCAAAGTAGCCAAAAGCACATAGACCTGAGCTATCTTCAAACTAATATCAAATTGGACCCAATTGCCACTTACATTGGTCCCACCAGACCCAAACCCACTTCCCACCTCAAGCCCAAGGTCTGGCCTGACCTGGGTTGAGCCCAAATTGACACGAACCAAGCAGATTTGGATCAACCCGAGTCATCTTTTAACCCAGACCAAATTGAATCCAATTGCCACTTGTATTGGGTGCACCAGACCCAGACCTATCTCCCATACCAAACCCAGGGTCTGACTTGACCTAGATCGAGCTCAATTCGACTCGAACTGAGCAGGTTTGGGTCTAACCCAGTCACCAACACAATCCAGACATTCTCAGGCCAAATTGACTCCACCCTTGACTCCAGCATGTCCCAATCGGCCTCCCCCATTCAACCCGACCCAAACCATGGCCGGCGGCGGTCCGAACCAATGAAAAATTAGTTTCGGTGGTCCCCCCCAGACAACTCCTGAATCAAAGCTGCTGCCCTCCGTTGTGATCCCCACGACGTCCCTAGGACGTCGCCATCTTCCACCTGGTAGCAATCCGAGCCCCCTCCAGCTCAATATCGGCCGTCCAAGCTTGCGAAAGGTGGCCGAATAGGCTCGAGTTCCCCAGACCAAAAGAAGCATTCTCACTCTCTCAAAATCATTTCAAAGAGCTCCTTCGACCTCCCAGGCTCTCCCTTTGAGCTCCCAGATCGATCCCTTCATCCGTTCGAGCAAGCGGCCGTGAAAGCTTTCCAATATTGGATTGAAGGTTTCCACTGTCCTGATCCTCCCTATGAAATTTCATCGGAGTTTGCCGGCGGGATCACCCGGATCACGCCGGAGAAGCCTTATGATCTCGGATACGTGCGGGAGGTTGAAGACGAAATCTCAGCCGTTGATTTCGATCAACGGCTCGGATTAGATCCCGCGGTATCGGAGCGCCTTTAATCCCAGCCGTCTGATCCGCCATCTGACGGTTGTGGTTTATCCGCCTGTTAACAGTTAGCACCAATGATTGCCTAGCCAATCGGCGCGCGGCGCGTGTAAAGGGAGCGCTTACTGTGTAATGGCCGAATTAATAATTCTAGAAATTCAAGGGAACTTAAAAAATTCATAACTCCCTCGACACTTGTCCAAATTAGGTGTTCTTAGGCTCATTAGAAAGGTCTCATAGACATCTACAAAAGCCCTATGGTTCCAGGCCCTGGTTAGGTCAGTGTTAAGCTTAATTTTAGTTTGAGAATTTTATCAATTTCTTTAATTACTCTTTAAATACAAGTCCACCAGGCCTGGAATTTTGGGAGATTGAAATTGAACATGTTTTTGACATGTCCAAATTTTATCTCCCCATTTTAAGATGTTCAAGGGCATTTTCCCCAAATTTTAAGTTTATGGGCATGGTTTGACCCTTATATTCAAAATGGGGTATAGACCTATCCAATGGGATTTAGGGTGTGATTCTTTGTGTGCTGATGATGTGTAGGATAAGGAGTTTAGAGCGACTAATTTTTCCCCAATCCAAGCTTAGGATAGACCCCTATAGTGATTTGAAGGTGACTTAGAGCTAACCTTGGGTGGTTTAGTTAACAACCGTAGAGTACTCCATTTGAGTTCAAATTTTGTGGGTTTAGTCCTTAGGGTTATTTGATCCTATGGTCCAAATTTCATCAAATTTGGAGTTCATTTGGTTCCCCAAGTAGGAGCCTCAAAACTCCCTCTTAGAAATGGCTTACTAACCCTAATTAATTAATAATGAACTATCTTTAACTCATAAAATCTATTAAAATGTTTGTAATTGTT